TGGGTTATAAACGTCCCCAAATAGGTTATACTATAGGTTATACTATAGAGAACTGAAGTTTTTAAACTTGCGTTGCCAAAGATTATTTTCCAGTCTTAGGTGATAAACGGATAGATAAGGTATCACTAGTAACCAGCATTTCACTTTCCAAGCATTTGATTTGAGTTTTCACTATACTAAATAACCGGTTATCATTGAGTGATCATGTGGAACTTACTGCTGGAAATTTAGGCAGCAGCGGACGTTTGTGCGTCGCTATATACATTCCTCACTAACTAAAAGAGTAGATGTTATGAGTATGAACCTCTCATTTCTATTGAGATTCGCAACAATCCTAACAACTGTAATGTTTTCAGATACTTCAAAATGGCTAAAAGCTTACCGGCCCTTTAAAGGTATTAAGTACTTTGGTTTGTCAGCGAGTCAATGTTACCAAACCAAATGCTTAAAAATATTCATCCGACATTTATTGTGCTTCAACTTACTCTATGGTTAGAATTTTGTTATACATATCAGATACACAATCTGGCACTTATGCTTTTCTTTTCCTTGCGCTTTTTGCTGTGCTTACCTTAGAAAGTTCGCAATTTTGTAATTTTTTTCAATCATGTATATATATATATATATATATATATAAATGTTACCAGTTACAATACAATTGGCTGCGTACCACAAGATAGAAGGAGAGAAAAATAGATTGAAAGGGAAGCAGCTGTTGGGGTAGAAATGTCTCACAGCAAGTGCTCCATTGTATACGGTCCTTGGCCATATCCTCCAGCGTTTGCAACCAGATGTGCTCGGAGTCTTTTGGTCCCCATCCCGAGAGTCAGGAACGCCCAACAATAGCCAATTTCAACGTTTACGCCTAAACGCATGTGATACAAGTTTTACATTACCCTCCTCTTGTCGCTTCCACCCGATGCCTGTGCTCGCAAATAGGACTCTTCGTGGTAGCCACTGGGTAGACATGCGGAGCACATACCTAAACCAGCGAAGCCTCCGCAGTGAAATGATGCCATCAACCGGTCGGCGGAGTGCTTTAGATCTGAAGACTCGCCGATGGACTTCTTCAGTAATGATGTGATGCTGCCATCGAACACCAGCAATACTTTGCGGGCAGCGATGATAGTAAGCAGGTAGCCGCTGAACGTCGCTTTTGCGAACGGGTCAAGCCTCACAGCAGTACAGCAGAAACGCTCGTACTGTAGCACTGTAGACTTGCCCCTTGAGAGCGAGGCTGAGATCACGACGAAGCCACAGGTGACGAAGGTTAGCGAAAACGACTCAAGCTTGGAGACAAGCAGGGAGATCTCATCTGTCAAACCGCCAATACTAAGACAACTCCCAAGATAAATGAATCTGTCGACTAGTTCCAGCAAATGACCCAAAGGGAGAGAGAAGGACATGCACTTGGTCCATCCTGTAACAGGATCTTACATTTGGTAGAGGCGAAGGTCAACCCAAATTGGGAGGCGGAAATCTCCTTTCTAAGAAGCACATGCTGGGCGGTCTGGGAGGACTAGAAAATCACAGCGATGTCGTCGGCGTACTCTAACTCTCGAAGGCAGGTGAATACGTCTAACAAGAAGGAATGGCTGTGACTGATTTAGAGGACGGAAAAGATTGGGAAGCGTTGAGAAGCTTGGATAGCAAAAATTAAAAGACCGACAGTTTTTGTACTAAAAACATTTCCGTCGTCCTATCAAGCACCGTAAAATGTGGAATATACAAACGCTGAAATAAGTGATCAAGCATTAAGTTCTCAAAGCAAAATTTAGTGTTCGGATGAAACTTGTAATGATCCGATGATTTCTCTGTTCAGCTGCGGTGTTTCGAAAACCATAGTAAAATGTTGTTGCATAACTCAGCCCCTCAGGAACAAGCGTCTATAGGGCAATGTCAACTCAGTGAAATATACAGCATGTTTGGCAAGTCAAACTGCTCGATCTAAGCTGTACATTCACCACCATAACTAACGACCTATCTGAATCGATGAGTTTCCTCCTTTGATTCAGTTAAACAAAAAGTGAATAACTCATACGAATGTCGGCCAATCCGTGTCCACTAATGTAATCCGTTGCTCACGTGTTCCGTTGGCTCTCTGACTCGCTGGGTTGGTCCCTGTATTCACTCTGATCTGACAATCCCATCATATATAGCTATAATATGTAGCTAAGTATTCTACCAATTGGAACTGTACGTTTGACTTAGGCAACCAGTGAGGTTTTATCGCTTTGTCACTTTGGTATTCTTTTAATACCTTTAGCTAGCGTGACTGTATGTTTCAACAATAAACGTACAGGTTGCCAAATCTACTTGGTTCCTCGCATTTTCCTTAATATTTCGTCGAACTAGGGTATATACTAACCAACCGCCACCACCATAAACGTATCGTACGTGATTTCTTACCATATGTTTAGACCACGTCCAAGCGAACCCGGACAGTTTAAGTGTACCGAGCGGGTTATCGATGAAATCAGGACTATTCCAAGGCGCAGGATAATAGTAGCTGGCTCAAAACTTGTTTGCGGGTGGAAAGCAAGAAGGTTAATTTTTAGTAGGTGCTCCATGCAGCCGTCTTTTTGGACGAACTAGGGACTACCTGATAGACTTCAGATAAGACAAAATCGCCCTATTTGACTCGAGAAATTCGAGATTATACGCTTGAGTTCTGTTACAGAACGCACAAAGATGTCAAACTGAAAGTAGTCAGTAAGGCACAGTGAGCTTATCATAGCCAATGTGTGAACTAAGAAGTCGTCGAAGGTGATTAAACCAGTGCAAGCAACTGGGTGTAGGATGAAGGGGTATCTGAGCAGAACAACTGGTTCTCGTAGGTGGGAGCAGGGGTTATCCCCTGGTCCTGATGATGGTCAGTACACAGACCACATCATATGGTGAACGGTGTGACAACCGCCGTAGAAGAACAATTACTGAGTAAATAGGCAAACTAATCTAACTGTCGATAGCGGAACCACAATCTCAATTGCATCCAAGTGTTGCAGTGATTACACAGTGATTCACAGTGATTACTTCAGAAGACACTGCTATATAAACGCACTTCAGCTTGACGAACAATCATACAGGTACGTAATATCCTTAGACAGATGGAAGATCTAAACTGTTGTAAAACGCGTAAAAAGCTAAAGCATGCCACACCCCGCAGGAGCGGCTGGGTGGATTAAATGCGGTCTACGAATAAAACGACAAGATAGAACGCGTATCTGTGAACTTGCCATAATATACATACAAGCACAAATGCAACATCGCCTACTGGGATTTAGCGGTCGACTGATGAACACGTAGTTTGTTTGGAATTTTCGTTGCCTGATAAACGCGGCTGGTGGCATGTAGTGCAAATGGTGTGATGCATCGTCGAGTCTGTAGCGGCAGCGTAGTTTGCGGTTCCGGAAAGTTTCTAAACGCAAGCAAGCCTTTATTTTGCACAATAATTGAGCCTCCATTGTCTTAAGCGATAAAAGGGACGATGATAGATGTTGTTACCTAAGGGGACAGAAAGACACGACACGCTGTGCGGTCAAGCGAAGGAGACCAGACGAGGCACCGGGCAAAAGATGCTGCCAGATTTATAAAACATACTTAGCATACAGTACGACATTCCGTATCAATCGCCTAAGTGTACAGTGGAATAGTAATTTTAATCGGAATTTTCCTTCGCGGGTTCAGACAAAGCTGGACACTCTTCAAACTGTTACACATCGTCTCTAAAAATTAGTAACGTGGTATCAGAATGTACAATACGCAGAGGACCGTTCGATGTTGATAAGTTCGCAAAGGAAAGGATTCCAACGACATTCCAACCTGTATTGTCGCTTGACTAGGTTCAGTTGGTGGCCCTTCGTTTTGATTACAATCATGTTTTTGGGGGAGTCAATCAAGATGACTGTATTTTTTAAAATCTGTTAAGTTAAACTGAAGTCAGCTCGCAGACGATGATACCTTCCGCCGAACATTTTCGTGCTTTTCAGTCCAAAAAGTAAAGATGGTACAAGTACTTAACATTTTGAGTTGCTCTTCTATGTAAAGTGTATCAAGATCACGATTATGTTGCAACTCACAAGCAGGAGTTCTTACTTCAAACGGAGTCTCATGCCCATTAACTGGAAGAGGAAGAGTGATCTGCTAGAATGCCGTCCGTATAGGAACAAACTTTTTACCGGTTTTGTCGCTTTCACCAATTACTTGGAATAACTGAAGCCAGTCCTAGATCATCACCCCGTGGCGCGTTCCCGTGGTACTATGTGCAATAGGCGGTCTATAAACATAACCAATGCCTTTTGGTTGATTTCATGCATTTATCCTCGTCAAACGGGAATGCATTCATGCTGACAATTCGAAAGTACTGTCTAGGTCGCGTTGCAGCAAATTAAGATATTCCTGATACCCAATCTTCTACTATATCTTGTTATCCAATTTTAGAATCATGAACTTCAAGACAATCATACCAGCGAAGTCCTCAAGGAAGGATAGGAGCAGACTTAGCCCCAACGTTGGTACCTATGAGACACCGCATTCTACATTAGTCGCAACTGGAAGTGATCCCAGTACACGTGCTTGCAGCCCCGCTAGCCAACAAACTTGCTGTTTCACTCATATACAAATCACGAATACATAGCTCAACAGAATGTGATGATCCAGGAGGTAGAATAATTTGAATTCTTTTTGTATGGATGACCTCGGTTCCGGCCACACTATCCGTTATCTCGTTCCTTTAACCAGTCGCAATCACTGGACTGCTAATACATGATTGGTGTTAACAGAAGCTGTATTACTAAGTTTATACGGTGGTCTATCTTTCTGACTATATATGCAACGGTATAGCTACCATTAAAGATATCCAATAAAATGAACCATTCTGCTCAATCTCGAGTCAGCGACAGAAAATTAACAATCTCACGTTGGCTAATAAATCTAAAGAAACCTTTTCGGAAGTTCAAGGAGTTTACTGAAATAACTATTTCGTTTTCTTCGTTTTAAAGGGAATTGAAGCTGTCGGTGAATATATTCATTACATGGGCTTATTGTTTGGGATCTATCTGGACTATGGTACCAAGACATGTGAAGGTTTCCCTGGAAGCATGGATTACCTGGAAACGGATGCAAAAAGTTTGGCCAAATGGAAAGTGGATTACGTTAAGGTTGACGGTTGTTACAGCCCGGAGGAACGTATGCCGCTTGGTTACGAGGATTTTGGTAAATATATAAACCAAACCGGAAGACCGATTGTGTACTCGTGTAGTTACCCAGCATACATCGGCTGGCAAGCGAATCACAGCCTCGTTGAATGGGAAAGATTGAAAAAGAATTGCAATTTGTGGCGAATGCTCAGCGATGTGCAAGATAGTTGGGATTCCGTGATGAGCATTATCAATGTATACAAAGAACACGGGTCACTTTTAACTTCCGTGGCCGGACCTGGCCACTGGAATGACCCGGATATGTTAGTCGTGGGAAATTATGGCCTCTCGAAGGATCAGCAGCGCGTTCAGATGGGCATGTGGTGTATGTTGGCAGCACCATTGATTCTTTCGGTAGACCTGGACAATATCGATGAATTCAGTGCAGAACTTCTGAAGAATCCACACCTGCTCGCCATAAACCAAGATCCGGGAGGTCATCAGGCCAAACTCGTCAAAGTCAAACAAGAAGTAATGGTAAGAATAATTTCGAGCGGTTTTGTAACTTTCTTTGCACATGGTCTTCACTAATCACTGCAGGGAAGAAAGCTAGCTACATATCGCATTCTTCATCACCGACCAATAAGTCAATAATAAACAACCAAATATTTTTATTGCACCTATTACTCAAATAGTACCGGTTCCATTTTATATTGAACATTAGGAAAGTGAGAATAGCTCTTTAATATTCTTAGTGTATTTATGTTTGCTAATCGGAAAGTAGTATCGGCGGTCGATAGCCCCATGTGTCATTTCATGAGTGAAAGTTGAACCTTCTGGGTATTTTATTCATTACCAACATGAAACGTTCTGTAACTGTGCACATATTTATCATGAGGCATGAGAAGCGCATTTTCATGCAGTAAGTCAACGGGTATTCCATAAAAGTTACACTTGAGTCAAAATTATTATTCTGGGGAGGGATTCCAAAGGGACTTCCGTTATTGTCATACTAGAAACTGTACCCAAAATTTATTCTCGACTTCACGAAACACGTCTGTTGGAGCGACCTCAAGTAGTTGAACTTGAAACGGGTCACTAGCAATTTGACCTAAAAGTGCGCCGAATAAAAGGCTGGTATTGGGTCCGAGAGAAAAAATTACACACGCGGACTAGAAGCACCCAAGGAAATAAGGAGCGGTAAACATCATATAAATGCAGTTTACCTCGTACCTACAAGCAGTTATAATAGCTGGATCTTCGTTAAATCCCCAGCATTCAAATGATCCAGATAAACCGACCACAAATAGAAGATTCCTCATCAGAAGTCAGAGTAAGCGAGCAAATGTTTTTGATAGGTCATCTTCAGGCTTATACAATTATATGTAAATCAAAATGTGCGGACACATTAAAAGTCGTTACTCCTAGAGCGAGTTAATTGGATGCTAACAGTGCTGTCTGTTAAGTCACGACAACCGACCGCGTGTGACCTCGTGGGTCAGAGGTCACCGGCCGTTTGGGCCAGGGTAGTGCCAATCCGGCTATTGAAGAGTTGGCGGTTTTTCCGCTTCCAGTTCTAAGCCCGACTGGGTGGCGTTCCTTCATGCTGCTGCTGGCTAGGTGCACCAGCAGTGCAGATGCAAATCCAGTTCACTAGCATTCCGACGGTCAGACTAAGCTCAAAAGATAAGAGACCTGTCTGCAGCAACTCAATGTGTATCGACACATTTTCATGCTTCTGTGGAGCGGAGTACATTGGTGGCACGACAAAGCGTCTGTCTGAGAGAAAGAAGATACACCACCCGGTCGGCCTTAGAACTGGAAGCGAAAAAATAATCAACTCTTCAATAGCCGCGCATCTAGACGATACGGGGCACGCCACAAAGTTCATTGATTCGTTCAGAATTATCTATCTGGTCTCAAAAAACCGCTGAAACTACATCCGCAAGCGACTACTAGGAGCCGCTGAAACAATTGTGATCCGGCTGTATGAACCGGAATATGTGTTCAGAAGAAGCTAGCTAAAGGCTTGGGACAACCGTGGCCCAAACGGCCGGTGACCTCTGATCCACCAGGTCACACGCGGTCGGTTGTCGTGACTTAACAGACAGCACTGTCAACATACAATTAACTGGATCTAAGAGTAACAACTTGTAATGTGTCTGCACATTTTGATTTGCATATAATTGTATGAGCCTGAAGGTGACTTATCGAAAACATTTGTTCGCTTACCCTGAGTTCTGATCATACTATCGGGTTTTTTAAAGATTCATAAGCGTTCTCACATTCTGAATGAAAAGTTACACTGCATTAATCCTGGAAGGGGATACGAAAAAGAACTTGGGAATCAGCGGATAATTAAAAATTGTTAAGGGAGAGTAGGATTTGGAAGACAATAGTAAGGTTATATTTTACAGGTCAAAGAGTAGCTGCCTAACAATACTTGTAGGATTGTCAGAATGAGAACCGACTGGTGATAAGAAAACAAAATGAAACAATAAGATAGATTTTGATGGATTAACTGCAGTGTTCACACAGCGTCATGCACAAATGTGTGTGTGTAAGGAAACGCTGTTAGTCAATCTTCATCCCCTTATATCAACTGTGGAATTACACCTTGGATCAATGGGGTATTTGTTGATGACAGATATAAAAGCGAATGTTTGACATGTCCAGCAGGATGGTTAGGGTGAAACTTACAATTTAAAATCATTGTCAGTAAAAGAACGCGTGACTTACATGACTTACCATGGGGTTTGGAGCGACACATGTGTGAGTATTCCTGCCAGGAGTTTAGGATGGTTATAACACCGTCCACTGTTTGTTGTGCACTGATGCCATCATCTGATGGTCAAGGGCTATATAAAGTTACGTGAATGTGCAAAGGTCTCGGCAAGGCGTTTTTGATAAAGGATGTGGAGGCATTATTGACATGCATCGGCTGTGAAAAGTTGTGCCGACATTTCAATCGACTGTACTGCGCGGCCAAGTTACCCTAATGGCCCCATAGAGATGTGTTTTGACTGAGTTTCAAAAGGGAATAGCAAGTGGGGTTTGGGTTTCTCAGCATATGATACACCATTACGTGATCCCCTTTTAGACGCCGATAAGGCCCGCTGTACGTTGAGAACTTTCAGTCCGAATGGGTAGGGAAGGTGGGACAAACCTCTGAGGTACTTTGTCGCCTTGCGTCGTGCATTATCGAGCACAGTGAGGTGGCGCTTCTGCCAAGGTTGCCACACTTGGTTAGCGTATTCCGCGTACGGCATCACATACGCACCAAACATCCTCGGAAAGACTAAAGGGTCAAACTTCCTGAAAGCTCTGCGAAGAAGTTCGAGGTGCTGGTTTGCTTTCTTAGATGCCTTTTCATTCTGCCTCACACAACCAAGGTCAGCTTGGACGAGCACGCCAACATTGCACTCGTGGGTAGCCCGCTGTATAATTGACGGTCCTAGGCAGGGATTGTTAATACTCTAATGGCGTATACTCAGATTTTTGTACTTGTTTGCGTTGAACTGCAGTATGTCCTCCATGGACCATGTATACGCTTTGTCCAGATCATCCTGTAGGGCTGTATAATCCTCCACAGTAGTGGTAGCACGCCACATCTTTAGAGCATCGACAGATAATAGGCCGTTTGAAGATAGTATCCTCACCAGGTCATTTATGAATACCAGGAAGAGGCGAGGTCCCAGTACCGAGCCCTGGGGTACGCCACACCGAACTTCGATTGGTTCCAATAGGGTGCTGCGAACCCTCACAATCGAGTAACATTGAAGGAGAAATTCGTCTATTCAGCCTAGAACGCGATCGCCCATTCTATAATTCTTGGGTTGTGTAGTAGAATGCGACTGTCCAGACGGTCGAATGCCATTTTGGAATGCAGATACACGGCATCTATTTTTACACCGGCATCCACAGTTTCCGCCCAGCATTTACAAGCGATCAGCAGATCAGTATGCAGAATAGATTCTGGCGAAATCCGTGTTGCTCCGAAACGAGATTTTTGTTAGTCTCCAGGTACCACATGAGAGCCACAGCTGCAATGGACTCCATGATCTTGCAGATCACCGGAAGAATTAGTATCGGACGATAATTCTCTGGTTCTGCCGGCCACCACGCTGGTAAATTTGAGCAATGACCCAGTGCTTCCCCATCGTGGGGACGTGGACCTCGTTAAGACAACGCTGAAAGAGTATTGCTAGCAGATTAGCTAAACTCGCGGTAATAACTTGCGTCAACTTTGAGCAAATGCCGTCTGCACCCGGGGGGCTTACTCGCGCGAGGACATCGGTCTTTTTAGTACAGCTGTGGTTGTAAAGATAGGTGGTTAACAGAGCAAGAACAACAAACATTTTTGCGGAATAATCTGAAAAGTGATTTCTTAGAGATTTGACAGGCAGTGCTAGAACTGAAAAGGTTGAAAAGATGATAACCTGCTATCTGCGAAGTTTGCATAAAGATAGATTGATCGATGCCAATACCATGAAACAACTACGGCCGGGTAGTTTCAGACTTCCTCGGATGTATGGGTTGCCAAAAGTACGTAAAGAAGTTGTTCCGTTACTCCCAGTCCTTTCAAAGGTTGAAGCACCGCGCCAGAAATTGGTAAGATGATTATCCAAGCTAATTGAGCCCATCAGACGTGAGTTGGCGGTGCACAGCTTGAGTGATCCATTTGAGTTCGTTGAAATGATTCGGAATCTAGACGTGAGCGGCAAATAAATGGTATGGTATGGTATGAGAAATGGTATGGTATGGCAAATGGTATGGTAGGGTAAATGGTATTTTTTGGCGTGTGTACTTTATTTACAAATGTCGCGTTGGAAGAGACGCCGAGCATCATAGGCAGTTATGCTGGTAGAGTGGAGTTTCCACCACATAGACAAAAGAAATTAATTCGTATCCATACACAAGATGTACAATTTCGTTTCATTGGAAGCCTCTATCGGCAGATTGAGGGGGTATCGATGGGAAATCCCCTTAGCTCCATTTTGGCTGATATCTTCGTAGCTCATCTAGGGAACACCAACTTTTGTCACTCTACACAGAAATCTCATCTGTACGCTCGATGGACTGATGACAACTTTGTGATGGCTGTTGAAGCTCAGCAAGAGGAACGCATGACCAATAGATTCAAGGAATGTCATCCTGAGAATGAGTTCACTATGGAAGGCGAAACATCAGGGAAGTTCCAATTCTTGGAGGTGGTTTTAGAAAGTAGAGCCGATGGATCGCACTTTAGATCAATTTCTCACAAATCGAGCTGGAAGGGGCTATAGCTAAAATGCAACAGCTACTGCATCATGAGCTACAATCGCACCCTGGTTCGTTCACCTTTTGTGAGAGTACTCCGTATCTGTAAAGAGGAAACGATTGAGGAAGAACTACAGTGTACCGTACCCACCTTAGGTGAAAATGCGTATCTCGCCAAGTTCATCGCAAAGTAAGAGGAGAAAACCAGGACGCAAGAAGGGCCAACTGCAGCTGCAAAGTTGGTATTCATTGCAGTACCTAAAATGGGGAAGAAAACG